CATGGCTCAGTACTTTCTCTTTCTCATAAAAATTTCTACTGTGGGAAAATACACGGAACGTCAACCATTTTTCATCGTGTGGTTCCGTGGCATTACTTGCGCTCCCAACGTTGTGCGGCCCTCCCTGCCACCTGCCTCCATGCACGCTCATCCTGCGGAACTGAGACTCTGTCCCCGTTAACACTAACACACCCCCGACCCTGTTTCCCCTCGTCCCCCTGACTTAGGTCTCAGTACCTCCTGCGGGTGGGGCCGCGTGTTAGTGGTCTGGCTGTGGATGGAGCACTCACTGGGCAGGGCGCCCTCGCACTCCCTCCGTCTTTATCTCCTTTCCTGCCTCCGGCTTAGGATTTAGCTTGTGCTTGTCTTTCTAGTTTCTTAAGTCTGAACGTTACCATGTTGACAGGAGACCTTTCTTGTGCTTTCACCTGTGTTTATCGCCATAAATAACCTCCTCGGCACTATTTTTGCTGCATCTCGTAAGTTCCGGTAGGTTCTGTTTTCCTTTTCTCTCATCTCCAAGTGTCTTCTGAGAGTCCTGTGGCTTCCCCTTTAAGAGCGTGTTGTCTAATTTCTACAAACTTGAAAATTTCCCAGTGTTACCTCCGCTACTGGTTTCTAACTTCATCCTATTGTGGCTCAAGATCCTTCGTGGAAATATCTTTTAAAATCCACTGCGACTTAATTTGTGGCCTGACATCCGGTCTCTGCTGGGGACCGTCCCGGGCGTCCGCAGGTGCCGCTGGGTGGCGTGTTCCGTGTGCGTCTCCGACCTGCTTGGCTTGTGGTGTGAAGTCCTCTGTTTCCTTACTTACCTTCGTCTGCTTGTCCCACTCATTATGGCAGGTGGCAGACTGATGTCTCCAGCTGCTGCTGTGGAAATGTTTGCTTCTCCCTTCAGTTCTGTCGGTTTTGCTTCCTACATTTTGCTGATCCGTTATTAGGTGCGTAGTGAGTAATTGCATTGAACATCGTTTCATGCGCCTATGGACCGTTTGCGGATCTACTTTGGATAAAAGTTTATTCAGATCCTTTGCCCATTTTCAAATTGAGTTGTGTGCCTCTTTGTTACTGAATTGTGAGAGTTCCTTATATTTGCCGGATACTAGGCCCTTTTCCAGTGTGATTTGTAAATATTTTCTCCCATTCTGTAGCTTGTGTTTTCACTTTCTTGTGTCCTTTTTTGTACAAAAGTCAAAATTCTGATGAAGTCCAGTTTACCTATTTTTTCTTTTGCTGCCCATGTGTTTAGTGCCACATCTATGAAAAATCCAAGGTCTTGGAGACATACATCCATGTTTTCTTCTAACAGTTTTAGAGTTTTATTGGGCCTTTGATCCATTTTGAATTGATTTTCATATTTGGCATGAAGTAGGGGTCTAGATTCACTCTCTCTCATGTGTTTCCCAGTTACCACCCGGTCTCTCCACCATTGTTGGAGAGACCGTTCTTCCCACACACTGTGTTTAGCAATTGTTATAAAACTACAACAATAAGGTCAGAGTGGTCTTGGTAAAGAGATGGGCACATAAATCAAGGTGACAGAACCGTGTCCAGAAACAGCCCTCCCACGCACATGTCCAGCTGTGTTTTGAGAAGATGCAAAAGCAATTCAACAGAGAAAGTATCATCTTTCCGATAAGTGGTGCTGGGAGAATTGGGCATCCTTATGGAAGAATAATAAAACTTGACCTAAATCTCATATCTTACACAAAAATTAACTCAAAATGGGTAAAGTATCTAAATGTGAAATGTAGGGACACCTGGGTGGCTCAGCTGGTTAAGCATCTGCCTTTGGCTCAGGTCGTGATCCTAGGGTCTTGGGATCACGTCATTACACGTCAGGGGAGCCTGCTTCTCCCTCTCCCTCTGCTCCTCCCCTGACTTTCTCTCTCAAACAAATAAATAAAATAAATAAAATCTTCAAACAAATGTGAAATGCAGAACTATACAACTTTAGAGGAAAATATGGGAGGAAAGTTTTGTGAGTTGGGGTTATCCAATGAGAAAAGCATGAAAAGCATGATCCATATAAGAAAAATATGGATGCACTGGATTTCATCAAAATTGAAAATTTTTGTTCTGTGGAATGACACCGTTAAGAGAATAAAAGACAAGCACAGACAGGGAGAAAATATTTGCGAATTGAATATCTAACCAAGAGTTTTTATCCAGAATACATGAAGAACTCTCAAAACTCAACACTGAGAATATACAACCCAATTAAAAATTGGGCTAAGAATCTGAATAGACATTTCTCTGAAGAAGATACATATATGGCCAATAAACACATGAAAGCGTGCCCGACATCATTGGTCTTAGGGAAATGCAAATCAAACTCACAATGAGATGTCATTTTATGCTCCTAGAATAACTGTAATCAAAGAGACAGACGGGGGCGCCTGGGTGGCTCAGTCGGTTAAGCGACCGACTTTGTTTTGGCTCAGGTCCTGATCTCAAGGTTGTGGGATCGAGCCCCACACTGGGCTCCGCGCTCAGCGGGGAGTCTGCTTGAGATTTTTCTCCCTCTGCCCCTCCCCTCAAATAAATCAGTAAGTCTTTTTTTTTTTAAAGATTTTATTTATTTATTTGAGAGAGAGAGAATGAGAGACAGAGAGCATGAGAGGGAGGAGGGTCAGAGGGAGAAGCAGACTCCCTGCCGAGCAGGGAGCCCGATGCGGGACTCGATCCTGGGACTCCAGGATCATGACCTGAGCCGAAGGCAGTCGCTTAACCAACTGAGCCACCCAGGCGCCCTAAATCAGTAAATCTTAAAAAAAAAAAAAAAAAAAGACTGACAGTAACCAGTACTGGTGAGGATGAGGAGACACCAGAACCCTCTGGTGTTGCTTCGGGAAGCAAGATGGTGCAGCTGCTTTTGAAGACAGTCTGGCTGTTCCTTGAAAGGTTGGGAATGCTCGCCTGGCAGTTTTACTCCTAGACACCGACCCTGGATGAATGAAAACACGTCCACAAAGCAAACTCGGACACGAGTGTTCACAGCAGCATCCAAATGTCCATCATGGGGTGAAAGATGAACAAAATGTGGTATAACTAATCAACAAGGTATCATCTGGCAATTAAAACAGGGAAGGAGGTCCAGATACACACTGCAGCTTGGGAGGGCCTTGAACACGTGCAAGGGAGCTGGCCGTGAATGACCACACGTCACGTGACTCCCTCTATATGGAATGTCCAGCATGGGCAAATCCATGGTGGGCTTGGTTTAAGATAGGGGAGGGATGGGAGTGGTCACCACACGCTACAGGTTTTCTTGTGGGGTGATGAAAATGTCCTAAAACTGGTTTGTGGTGATGGTTGCACGACTCCAAATACACCAAAAGCCACCGAATTATACATTTTAAATAGATGTACTTGTGGTATGTAGATATCTTGATAAAGTTTTTTTTTTTTTTTTAAGAGATAAAGACCTGGACAGAACTTCACGAAAGAGGACACGCCCATCAGCGGATGGGAAGCTCTTCGATGTCATCAGCCATCAGAGAAATGCAAGCTAAACCCTCAACGAGATGGCATTACACGCCCACAAGAATAGCTGAAAGGACCATCCAATCAGCAGTTCCAAGGGCTACTGAGGATACGGAGCACCTGGGACTCATACACCCTGCTGTGGGCATGCAGGACGGGACCGTGGTCTGGAGACAGGCTTGGCAGTTTCTGGAAAGGTTAAACATTCACCTGCCGCACGACCCAGCAGCCCCACTCCTGCCATTTGTCCCAGAGAAACCCAAACATGTTCATACAAAAACTTGTGTACAAAGGCCGATGGCAGCTTTATTCCTAACTGCCCAAACTGGAAACCACCCAAATGTCATTCAGGGGAGGAGCGGAGAAGTAAACAGAGGTCCATCCACACCTGGAATCTTACTGACAAAAAGGGATGAATGGTCGACACACAACCACCCAGATGAATCTCAGATGTTATGCAGAGTGCAGAAAGCCCCGCCCAGAACATAGCATACGTTTCAGTCTCCGTGTTGGCCTGGCAGAGGACAGATCAGCTGTGAGAGGTCTGAGTATAGCCGGAGAGCGAGAAGGAGGGTTTTGGGGGATGGATCACTCTGTGTCCTGGTCGATGTAGCTATAGGAATCTGGACATGTGCTAACATTCATATAACTGTATATTTCCCAAGGAGTCAGTTTTCTGGATAATAATTTAAAAAGACAAAAAATTTTTTTTAAAGATTTTATTTATTTATTTGATAGAGAGAGACACAGTGAGAGTGGGAACACAAGCAGGGGGAGTGGGAGAGGGAGAAGCAGGCTTCCCATAGAGCAGGCAGCCCGATGAGGGACTCGATCCCAGGACCCTGAGATCATGACCTGAGCCGAAAGCAGACGCTTAACGACTGAGCCACCCAGGCGCCCCTAAAAAAGATAAAAATTAAAAAATAATTTTTTTTTAAGATTTTATTTATTTGACAGAGAGAGAGACAGCAAGAGAGGGAACACAAGCAGGGGGAGTGGGAGAGGGAGAAGCAGGCTCCCAGCGGAGCAGGGAGCCCGATGCGGGGCTTGATCCCAGGACCCTGGGATCATGACCTGAGCCAAAGGCAGACGCTTAATGACTGAACCACCCAGGCGCCCCAAGAAATAATTTATTATTATTTTTGAAGATTTTATTTATTTATTTGACAGCACGAGCAGGGAGGTTGGGGAGAGGGAGAAGCAGGCTCCCTGCTGAACCAGGAGCCTGATGTGGGGCTCTATCCCAGGACCCTGGGATCATGACCTGAGCCGAAGGCAGACGTGTAACCGACTGAGCCACCCAGGTGCCCCTAAAAAAATAATTTAAAAAGCAGAACCATCATAGCGAAAATTGATTCGGGTAAGAGTCATCAGTGAGTGCTAGGCTGAGAGAGGGATTTTGAAGAGGAACAGGATATTTATAGAACCCAAGGTACATCCCTATTAATTAGCTAATAATTACAAAGGGAAAATATAAGTTTACTATAGAAAAAGCTAGTGGCCACCCCCTTCCCTGGGTGACGCAGGATAACATCAGCACAAATGAGCAGACTGATGTCAGTCAGCTTCCCTTCGGATGCGCTGGGAGGAATCCATGTTGCTCTGCTGGAATTCTGTGCAGAAAAATAAAACTTGAATTACTTGGTGCAGGAATATCAGAAAAGCCAAGAGAAGGCCATCTTCAAGACACCTGGCCTGAGCTCTTAAAACACATCAGTGTCACAAAAGACACACGTGGCAGAGGGGCTGCTTCCGATGAAAGGGGACGTGCGTGTGAAGCCAGCGTGTGGTCCTGGAGGGGAAAACAGAGCTGCGGGCCGCACCACCGGCAGAGGGGGCACCACTGGGACCGGGAATGAGGACTGAAGTGTGTAGGAAATACAGACTCGGCTGCTGAGGAACAAAGGCAGTGACTTAGGCAACCTCTTCCCAGGTGGTTCAGAAAAAAGAGTATGTATAGACCCAGAGAGAAAGAGAGAGAGAGAGAATGACCACATAGGTCCGTGGACATCGACGATCGGCGGGTGTGGACGAAGACAACGCTTGGGACACCTACTCTGGCAACTTTTCTCTAACTCTGAAATTGTTTCAGCATAAAAAATGGACACGTGTTACTTCTGCTTCCGCTTCCGACCACAGAGCAGTGGCAGGTAGCCAGCCAGCCCGCCTCCACGAGCAGCTGTGGACCCAGACGGCAGGCCCACGGGCGGGTCACCGCTCCAGGCATAGGGCGGAGGCAAGTGGGCTCAGAGGCAGGTGCGCAGGCCCGCTGGCGTGTGGGGAGCTGCTCGGCATATGGAAGTGCATGGGCTGTGGCTCGAGGCCGTGGCTCAGGCTGGGGGAGGCCACTGGAGGCTTCCCAGACGGCGGATTCTGTGGTCTCCATACTAGTATCTATTGCTGCATAACAAATTACCACAGATTCAGGGACTTTATAAAACATGCGTTTATTACACATATCCGGCTCTGGGGTTGGGAGTCCAGGCATGGCTTACCTGGGGCCTCTGCTCAGGGTTTCGAAAGGGTTCAGTCAGGCTGTCGGGGTCCTTCTGAGGCTCTTCTAAGGTCACATGGCTGTAGGATTCAGGTCCCCACTTTTTTTTTTTTAAGATTTTATTTATTTATTTGAGAGAGAATGAGAGAGAGCACATGAGAGGGGGGAGGGTCAGAGGGAGAAGCAGACTCCCCACGGAGCAGGGAGCCCGATGCGGGACTCGATCGAGGGACTCCAGGATCATGACCTGAGCCGAAGGCAGCCACCTAACCAACTGAGCCACCCAGGCGTCCCCACTTTCTTTTGACGGACAGCTGGAGGCCACTCTCAGCTCTCAGGGGCTGCCCACAGTCTCCTGACATGTGGCCCCTACTGGCCTTTCCACATCCTGGTAGCTCACTTCTTCAAGGCTGGTAGGAGAGTCCCTCGCTCTGGTCTATCTGCCAAGATAGAGTCTTAAATAACGGAGGCCAATCAAGGGAGTCAGGGCTCACCACCTTTGTCATATTCCATTGGCTAGATGCAAGCCACAGCTTCCTTCTGCACTCACGGGGAAGAAATTATTCCAGGGCATGGATCCTGGGGGGACAATTAGGTTGTGTCTATCATTGGCTGAGATCGGAACCAAAATACCTGAAGACAAGCCATGCTGGGCAGCACTGGGGTTTGGACTCAGCTAGGGTGGAGAGACTTTTGGATTTATGTTTTTAAGAGAAAAGACTACAGGGGCGCCTGGCTGGCTCAGTCATGGAGCATGTGATTCTTGATTCCAGGGTCTTGAGTTCAAGCCCCACGTTGGGTGCAGAGATAACTTAAATAAATAAAAACTTAAAAAAGAGAGAGAGAGAAAAGACTACAACCTACAGTAATGTCTAGTCTAAGACCATCTAAGAAACGTTAAAGCTGAGCCCCACGGAGAGCTGGGGACCAAGATTAAAAGTTGAATCTTACCTACCTGAGGGGCTTGGAAGACCTGCAGGGTGTTCTGCAGACCAGCATGAAAGCATGAAAACAAGCCCCACAAGTCCAGTGATCGAATGGCTGCTAAAACAAGAACCAAGGGTCCTCAGAGGAAGAGAACGGGATCCAGAGTCTTCAGACTTCAGCCAAAAATTACTGGATGTGCAAAGAAAGGAAAATTTCCTTATAGTCAAAGAAAAAAAAAGCCAGGTATCAATTTTCTCTCAGCTATAAGTTCATCCTTCATTGCCTGCCCTACAAAATGCATCTGCTCCCCATAAAGTAGAAATGCTCAACGTTGTCCCTCAGCACAGGGCAGGGATTGAGCCTAGAGGCGGTAAGCGAATGACTGGAGGAACACACACAGCCAGTGGCTCAGAGCTCCGCCCCTGGGGTATACTCGCGCAAGTGCATCCACAGGGGGACAGACGGCTTTGTGGCAGTTCGAACTTGGAAATGGAACGCTACTGAGCAGTGAAGACGAACGGCACGGAGGAATGTCTGAAACCCGGGGGCCTGCGAGAGAAGCCGGACACAAGGATCCAAACTGCACAGACCATGCCTATGAAGTTTGCAGGCAGACGACGTGATCTGTGGTCTAGGAAGTCAGGACAGCGGTCACCTTGGAGGGCATGAGGGGGTGTTTATTTCTTATCTGGGTGGTCAGGTACATTGGTCATTCGTGCACTTTTCTCTAAGTATTCCCAAGGACAGTCCCCCCGGCCTCCTCCCCAGACAAGGGCCAGACTCCTTGGTCTGGCCAGTGTGTGTTTCCTGGGGAAGGGGAAGCTCTGGGCTTCCACCACTGATGGGGAGAAGGATGCCACCTACAGCCTCCTGTGCTGTCACCCCTAGGACACCCACGAGGCCTCCTGCTCTGAGGGCAGGTTATTCCCAATCGCCCAGTGCAGGGATGCTCTATCTACTAGGTGAGAACATAGGGTCCAGAGTTGCTAAGGAGCTTCAGGCTCCCCAGGACAGTCCCACCTGGAGACACTCCTCCTTGAGCGGAGCACCGTGGCCTCTGCCTCCACCACCTGAGGAGAGGGCAGTGGGCCTGCAGACCCTCCCCAGCTTCTCCCTCTGTCTCTCTGTCCCACCATAGAGAGGCTGACCCCTCTCCTGGGCTCTCCAGGGGCCCCGTAGCCTGCAGTGGACCTCTTGGCAGGGCCTGGCCACTCCCTCCTCATGCTGCCAGGCTGGAGCCCGGGGCTCTCCGGGAGCTCAGAGGGCAAAGCCCGCCAGACCCCTTCCCCAGAAGCAGGTGGGCGCTGGGCAGGGGTGGAGCCCTGGAGTTGGTGCTCTGTCACCATGGCAACAGGTCCTGCTGCGCTGGGCAGGTACCCACGGGGCCACAGACAGCTCCTGTGGCCCAAGTGCTGGCGGTGGAGAGGGCAGGCCGGGCTGACCTCTCCCTTCTCTGAGGGGCTCCGTCCCCTTCCCTGGGCTTCCCTGGCACACTGAGGTCGGCCTCATACCCTCCCAGACTCCCTGGGTTTCCTAGGGTGGCCTGGTGGGGGCCTGGATTGTCTAGGAAGTCACTTGACCCAGGCACCGAGCACTGGGCTGGCCGTTTGGTGGGGCCCTTGCCTAACCTTGGGGTCTAGCTGGGGTGCAAGCCGCGCGCCCGCCGCCCCCTCTCCAGCCCCCTCTCCAGCCCCGGCCCCGCCCCCGGGCCGCGCAGCGCCGCCAGGGCTCGGCCCCGCCCAGCACCCCCGGAGGCGGGGGTGGGGGGAGGGCAAGGACTTCTCTGATTTGGGGCCGTGATCTTACTTTTCTGAGGGAAGCTCAACAGCCAAGAGCGCCTCCTCGCCATGGAGAACACTTGATTTGCGGCCTCACGGGCAGCTCAGTTCCCTGGCAGCTCAGTTCCCTGGCGGGGAGCTGGGGGCGGGAGGAACTTGTCCCCAAGGCCGCCGTCCTGGGTCGTGCTGCCCAGGTAGGCTGGGAGATGAGATGAGACTGACCCCACACGGGAGGGTGAGCACGGAAGTCCTGGGGTCAGAGGGAAGCCTGGAACCCCAGGCCAGGAGTTGAGGTCATTCTGAGACCCCCGCAAGGCTGGAGGGTGCTCTCAGCCCTGACCCCACCCTGCCCCCAAGCCACTACCTGGGCAGCAGCTACCAGGATGACCACTGGCCTTGGCCCCCACAGGAAGGCACATGCGCAGGTGGTCAGTTATGCATTCACAGGTTATTATTAACCAAGCAGTGACATCACCGGCAGCCAATAGGAGCAGGGTTTATTTCCAGGCTGACAGCTTGATAACGGTTAATTTTAGCTGGATCTTCTTTCCCCAGGCTCATGAAACCTCAGCCAGCCAAAGAGGGGGCTGCCTGTGTCTCCCCAAACAGCTCATGGCTGGGGGCACCTGGGGGCATCGGGAGGGGACTAAGGGGGCCCGCCTGTACCCCTTCCCCCTGCCCTACTCCCCAAAAGGTGGGCTGTGAGGCTGCACCAGGCTGATGGGCCTCTTTTTGCTCATCCCACCTCCCCAACACACACACCCATACCCCTTGTTGCTATGGGGGCCATTGTGACAGGTGGCTTAGATTTGGGAGAAGGAGGGCAAGGGGGAGGGGGAGGGGAGGAGCACAGGTGGGACCCATTTGGCTTCTGTCCAGAAGTAACACGGGCCTGGCTCAGGCCTTCCGAGCTGACTGTAAGTTCTGCCCTCCTTGGCTGTGACCTTGGGCGCCGTGGTTTGCCTGTCTGTGTCCAGTGGACTCTTGGTCAATGGGTGCTCGGCGGCCTGGTAGCCCCGCCCAGCGCTTGGTGAACTCGCAGGGCTTGGTGACTGGGATTCTGTAGTATTTAGTATTCAGCACTAGTCAATGACCAGTAGTTACTAAGTACTATGCAGTAGGTGGTACTTGTTAGTTTTCAGGGCGACGCAGTGATTAGGGCTTCTTTAGCACTGTTGGTGTGTTATTATTCAGCATTCATTATACCTTATTTACTCTCCTGTCCAAGTGAGCTCGAGTATCTCTGGGCGGTGGCGGCCGAGGGGCCAGGCCCCTAGGGCCCTGCAGGCAGCCCACCTGCGGGTGGATGGGGCCCATCCTGGGGACACAGAGGCACTTTGGAGAAACCACCTGAGACCCCCGCCGGGGGGCCGGCACGCTGGACCTTCAGGGAGGATGCTGCACTCCACCAGCAGTGGCCACAGCCCTGGGCAGCATGGCCTCCTGGCACAGCCTAGCTCCAGGGTGACTTGGTTCCCACAGGGCTGACAGCAGCGCGTGAGCCAGGAGCCGCTGGGTGCAGCTCAGACCTGCTTGGGGGCTGGTCTGCAGGCAGCCCAGGGTCCTGGGTGCTGCTGGCCTCTCTGGGGAAGTTGGGGTGGACGTCCCCAGGGACCTGGGCCTCCTGCAGTGGTTTGGCCCATCCCAGCTTCATCCCATCCCAGTGTCTCCCAAATCCCTGCTAACCTTCAGGCAGGAGGGACGCATCAAATATAGAGGGCAGCTGGGTGGGGGTGGGGTGGGTCTCCATTGCTTGCCAGTTTATTTTTAATCCTGGCTCCTGTTTGATAGGATCAGCAGCACTTGGAAGTGCCCGGAGTCATCTGTGAGCCCCTCCCTGCCCAAAACGGTTAGGAGTGCCTCTGTCTTGTAGGGGCAGACCACCCCCCCCCCCCGCCCCGCCCATGACAGCCCAGTGGGAGAGCCTGGGCTGGGGAGACCGGCTTGGCCCATGACCACTGCCCTGGGCCCCTTTACCTGCTGGCCTGCTGGGGGTCACATCTCTGAGGGCTCTCTCAGGCATTGCCCCAGTGGAAGGTGCTGGACACTGGGCCTCTGCTCTCACCCACCCACCTTGCTTGACCTTCTCCCAGACCTTGCAATGACAAAGATGAATCAGACAGGAGTGGTTGGTTGATGGGAGATGTGGCCATGGGGAGAGATGCTAGTGGGTCAAGAGGCCTGTACACTTGGTTTTCACATAACACAGGACTGCCCATTGCTCTCCTTAAAACCCATGTTGGCCATTACCCTGGTCTGCCCAGGACCCTCCAAGATCCCCCCACCCCCACTTTCTACAGAACCGGCCCTCCTGGTGGCTCAGCACTCTGATCACACTGGGGCCAGGAGCCAGGGGAACTCTGCTTCGTGGGAACCCCTTCCCACTCATGCCCACCAGGGCAGCCTGGGAAGGTATCAGTGGGCCCTGGGAACAGACTTGAAATATTCCCTGCATGGAGAGAGGCCCAGGGTGGACAAGAGTCCTTTCCAGGAGCCTCAGAGGGCGGGTGGTTGAGGTGAGCTGCTAAAGAGCCTCAGGCCACTTGGCCAAGCTGAGGGGACCCTGGAGACACGGTTTTCAGGCCATACTATGGGGCCTGGTTGGGGGCATGCCAGGGTGAGCCCATGTGGCAGACACACGGGGACAGGGGGCCTGAAAGCAAGCCAATTTCAGGGTCCCAAAGGAGGAAGGACCTGCAGGTCCTGGGCCACGCTGGGGAGACAGAACAAGTTCATTTGTTCATTAGGAACCAACCACATGCAGGGCTGGGTCTGGCCCTTGGGAGAAGCGGGCCAGGGCCATGGCCCAGACCCTAGCCTCAGCCCCTGCCCCTCCTGGTTGAGGCCTGCCCTGCCCTTTCCTGTCCCTGGGGCTGGCCCCATCCCCAAAGACCTCTTTTTATGTTTGGAGTGCCTTTCCACCTCTTCTCTCCAGCAGTGCCTGAGCCTGGCGACTTGGCCTCTGCTTCATCCGTCCTCCATCTCTTGCTGTTTCTCTCCCGTTGCCTCTCTCCATCTCTGCCCCTCCCTCCTTTCCGTCTCCCTCCCCCTGCCCCGCGCTCCCCGCGCCTCAGGCCGGCTGTGGTCTCCCTGCTCGCAGTCCCTCCGGGTGCGGGCGCGTCTGGAGTCCGCGCCTTTGCAGCTCGATCCCTCGCCGCATCTTCCTCTCGCGTCCCTGTCGCGCCCGCGCGCGTCCGCGGGTCCCCGTATCCCTGCATCCCTCGCGTCCCCGCCGCGGCCCCGCCCGCCCCGCCCCCCCGCCCGCCGGTACCGCATTGCTGTACTGCAGGGGCGCAGTGCATTGCGCCCGCTCCGTCAATAGGTGGACCCCCTCCTGGAGAGATAAAACCGCGGGCGCCGGCGCCGCCAGTCCCTCTGGCTGAGACCTCGGCTCTGGGTAAGGACGCTCGGCCTCCGGGGCTCCGCCTCCGCCCCCAGCCTTCCGCAGAGGGTTTTCTCTCCGGGGACCGGACTTGGGGCCGAGAGGGGCCAGGCTGGCGCCTGGCGAGGCTGCGCTGCTCGCTCCGGGCTTCGTTCGGCCAGCCACCCCACGCGCCCGGACCCGGCACCAGGGGTCGGTCCCCGCGGGCGACCAGGGGTGGGGTGGGTAGGTGGGGGCACCGCGGTGGTTCTTGTTTATGCGGTGGTGGCGTCTGGGGACCGGTCTTCTGGGCGCGGCGATCGTGTTGCAGCCATGACCTTGGGACCGGCTGGGGCCCTGCGGGATTGGGGCAGGGTCGTCAGTGCTGGGGGCTGCTGAGGATGCCTTGCAGAGGAGGAGGCAGGGAGACCTGGGGGGCATTCGCCACCCGGCCCCCCCCCGGGCGGGCCCAGGAAGTGTCTGGTGTCTGCACCCTAGGGTGCGCCGTTGATGCCTGTTTTCCCTTGCCCGGCCCTCTGTCCTCTCCTGGGCTGCCTAGGTTTCTCCACTGACCTCCAGGATGGGGCAGGGGCTGTGACCCTGGGTGCTGACCAGAGGGAGAGGGGGAGGGGTGCCCCCCTGCCCCCACCAGGCTGCAGGCATCTCTGTCTGGCACTTGCTGAGCTTGGCTGCTGGGGCCAGATTCTTCCCTGCTCTGAAGAGCAGGGACCCCACTTCCCTGCCCCCCAGTCTGCCCCCTGCCCAGGTCCAGGAGGGCCCAAGCTATTCTAGGCCCCTGATCTGGGCACCACCGCCCTGTGGGAGCCCTGGCCCAGCCTGTCTCCCCTGGTGCCAGCCTGCCTGGCAGGGATGAGGGGAAGATGGCGCCCTCCCTGCTTGAGGGGAGTGGGGAGCATTGACCATTTCTCCATCATGGCAGCGCTGCCGGTGGGGGTGGGGTGCAGCATAGGGCCCAGGACTCCTGGTGGGGAGCAAGCATTGGGGGACAGAGCATTGAAGAGTGGGGCAGGGTGACTCATCACCGGGCTCCTGACTGGTCATGGGGTTCGCCCAGCCTGGTGTTTCTCCGTCTCTTGGGGGGGGTTTAACCTCCTCCATGGGGGGTGCTCTGTGGGCATGACACCCAGATATTTAGAGCGGATTGGACCGTTGGGGCTTGCCACCTGACCCAAATGGGCCAGGCACAGGCTGGGGGGAGGGGTCTTCCTGCCCCACCAAATGTGGGAACATAGCCCCAGTGTAAGGACCAGATCTGGGGGCAGGGATATGCTTGCAACCTGTGCAGGGCGGTGTCTTCGCTGGCTTCCCCCTGAGGCTCTCCATCACCTGTGCCTCCACCCCAACTCACAGAATCACTGCTCAGCAGCCCCCCCACCCTGAGCCACAGCGCTCCAGGCCGTTCCAGCCCCTCCCCACACCCTGGGCAGAATGGGCAAGGAGAAGACCCACATCAACATAGTGGTCATTGGCCACGTGGACTCTGGCAAGTCCACCACGACGGGCCACCTCATCTACAAGTGCGGAGGCATCGACAAGAGGACCATTGAGAAGTTTGAGAAGGAGGCCGCCGAGGTGAGCCTGCCCCCCCTCCCCCATCCACTGGAGGACAGGTTCCCACGTGGTGGCTGGGCTGGCGCTTCCCTGACTCTGGGGCACGTGGCTCAGCTGATCTCCTCCAGGGCAAGAAGGCATGAGCCCTAAAGGGACCTGCATGGGGGACAGGTATCTGAGAGAGCTCAGCTGGAGTGGCACAGGGGAGGTGGGGGCAGCCTCTCTCTGAGGATGTGCTTGGTGTGGGCGAGGGATGGCCAGCTGGATCTGCCCCCTGGGGTGGGGGAGGGGACCTGGAGGCCGCATTTCTGCCCCACAGGGGTCCACATCAGGTTCTGGAACTCTCTGCCACATTGGACTTGAGAACCCTGCACCCAGGGTGGGGTTCCTGTGTCCCCAGGGCTGAGGTCTGGGGCTGGAGGTGG